TTTATTAGTCAAGAATACTTGCTCTTTTGTGAGTTTGCCTGGCCTTTTCATGCTCTTTGCCCATTTTTCTGGAATGTTTAACTTTCTTTTAATGACTGCTTATTTTGTTGAATATGATTGAACAATTTTTCTTACTTCTATTAAGAGTGAAATTATTCAGGTATTATTAACCAAATTTATTATTTTTTCTTTTACCTTTTTGCTGAATATATATATACACACACACGAACACACACACACAGTCTAAGATTAACAGTTACTTTTGGATTTTAGTTTTTGGTTTTCCTAGTATGTTTGCATTCTACATTTTGCATTTAACATTTGTAGCTTCTTTTTATTTATTTACTTGTTTTTTACCTTGAACTCACAGCTTTCTTGTCTCAGCCACTGTGTTGTAGGATTTCAAGTGTGCACCGCCCTGCCTAACAGAGTAGCCTGTTTTAGTGTAGGAAATGAGACAGTGTCTCTTGATTTTCTTTCCCTCAGTAGGTCAAAAGGTGTGTGAAGTCGTAGTTTTTACCTGCTTGTTTTTAAACATTTGCTGTTGTGCCGCCATACCTTGCTAAAACAAAAACAAAACTCTGTTTTTTTCTTTTCTTTCTTTTTTTCTTGAACTCACTTTGTAGCTAGGGTGACCTTGGACTTTGGTCCCCTGCCTCCACCCTCCAAGTGCTGGTGTCACAGGTGTGCACCCCACATCTAGGAGTTTATCTGATGCTAAGCGCTCCTTTATGACACTGCTATTGCTGCCCATGTGACTCTCCTCCCATTCCTGTTACATCACACTGAGAGTCTGTTTTCTTACACACCAGTGTGACATCATTTTCATTTTTGTGGCCTCAGCTTTACTGTTACAGAATGGTCTCACGACTTCCTCAATGTAGCATGCTTTTGGAACACATTCGGTCATTCTAAATATTCATTCTTTCACATGAACTTTAGAACTATTTACTCAAATTCTGTCATGTCCATACTTTTCTTTTTAACTGGCAGTGTAGCAGATGGCATTTAACAAATGACATCTTTGTCGTACTGAGCCATCTTACTGGAGAAGCAGGCACAGGCCTTAATTTAGAAGGTGTTTTATTCTCTGCCTCTCTCTCTTTCTCAGATGGGTGTGCATGTTTATGGGTGTGCATGTGCCCGTGTGTGTGCAGGTGCCGTGTATGTGTGTGCATGTGCCCGTGTGTGTGCATGTGCCCATGTATGTGTGTGCATGTGTCCGTGTGTGTGCATGTGCCCATGTATGTGTGTGCATGTGCCCGTGTGTGTGCATGTGCCCGTGTGTGTGCATGTGCCCGTGTGTGTGCATGTGCCCATGTATGTGTGTGCATGTGCCCGTGTGTGTGCATGTGCCCATGTATGTGTGTGCATGTGCCCGTGTGTGTGCATGTGCCCATGTTGTGCAGGTGCCAATGTATGTGTGTACATGTGTCCGTGTGTGTGCAGGTGCCCATGTATGTGTGTGAAGATGCCCGTGTGTGTGCAGGTGCCCATGTATGTGTGTGCAGGTGCCCGTGTGTGTGCAGGTGCCCGTGTGTGTGCAGGTGCCCGTGTGTGTGCAGGGCTTGTGAGTGTACATGCATGTGGAGGTCAGAAGACAACTTCGTAGTTTTCCTTCGAGGATGTGCATCTTTCTTTTTGAAGCAGGGTCTCACTGGCCAGAAATTCACCAGTTAGGCCAGGCTGGCTCCAGCAAGCCATGTCTCACTAGCCTCACCAATTTTACCAGGCTCTCAGGCTGACCAGCAGGCCCTTGGGATCTTCATCTCTCCAACACTGGAGTTCCCAGCACATACCACTCTGTGTTTGGGAAACTGAATTCAGGTCCTCATGCCTGCAAGGGCAGCCCTGTACCAGCTGAGCCATCTTCCCATGCCAGTTCTTTGTTCTTTACTGAAGTTTTAGGATTTTCATAACAGAGGATGGATCTTTGGTAAAACTTCGTTTTCCCCCTTTATCCTTACCCCAACCTTTCGTGGGAAGTTAATTCCCAGGTATGTTATTTTTCCTGGAAATTTTCACACTGTCTTAAAAAGGCAGTTGTTTTTGAACAATGGTTTTAACTTTATCCATTGGCAGATACAGCTAATATGCTACAAAGCACCACAAAAAAACCCGTCAATTTCCCCTTGCTTTATTGGAAGTATTCCTGAAGATAAACATTGTAGCCTAGAGTACAGCTATTTACTCACTGTAACATGCAGCTTCAATTCATCTTCCATCTGGGCTGTTTTTGAATAGAAATTCAGAGACACATTTCAATGTGAAGTCAATTCTAAACAGATACAGTATCAACCACCAGGGTTCTGTAGTGACTGTCACAACTATGAGCCAAACAGCCCATTAAACCCTAGAAAAGTATCCAAAACGTCACAGATACAACCATCACTCAGCAGAAGCCATCAGCACCAGGTGAGCTCAGAACCATTTTAGATGATGGATGTGGAGAGTGGAAAGAACAGAAAACGTTTTTTGTAATGTATCTGTCTCCCTAATTTTGGGGCCGAATATCAAATATGCATGGGCATAAAGTCAAAGTCATTTTCTTTCAGACCTTGTTCTCAGAAGCTCATCCAAACTTTTTCATGTATTTTTGTTGTTCATTTTCATGTAGGTAAATGCTGAGAAGGAAAAGTACGCTAGAACTCAGTGTTGCCTATTAAAGACTTATTTAAATGGCTTTCCTACAAACCAGTCCCTAACTCTTCAGTTGGTGGATACATTATCTCACCTCTTGTTTAAGGAATAAACTCAAGGAAGTTTTACCTCTAGTGCTGGGTTTTCAGCTTCTTCGATGTGTCCTGAGTTATGGAACTATCCCAACTGATTTATTGCCATAGCCTCTCTATTCTTCAGATTTGTGCAATAAAGTTTTGCTTGAATTCTCAGCAGCTAGCCAGGGGTGTGCTGACATTGTTGGGGTCATTTTCCTTACAGCCATTCTCATGTAATAAAAAGCAAACTTTATTTAAAGTAGAAATAGAATTTTTGAGGTTATAAAATTGAAGAATTGTAGTATACCCCTGGCATTTGCTTTAGAGAGAGTTTATGTAGCAGAAAAGCACAGAATGAGATGGAAGTCAGCTGCCTTTAATACCTGTGAAACAGACTGAACTTTTACAGGTTGTTGTTGGAGATGCATGGAGAGTGTTTGGTGCAGCACAGCTTGTCCTGGAATAAGTCCGTATAGTCTTTTTTTTCTCTTTTTGCTTTCTTATTTTGGTTTTTTAAGACATGGTTTCTTTGTAGCCCTGGCTGTCCTGGAACTCTCTCCACCACTGCCTGTTTTAAAATATTCTTTAACCCAGGAATTTTCATTCTGGAATTACTCTTCGTGATTGCAGGAAATCACCAAATGTTACATATGGTGTCTAAACTGTATCATATAATTATAGTATATGCTCATACTAATAAGATATTGGAAATGACACAAACGTCTGTCATAAAATAATTGGTTACATAAGCTGTATGTGCTGGGCAACTCTGTAACCTTTAACCATGACATAAGTCCGCATTTGCTCCCCACCCAGAGAGGAAAGCACCAGAATGGCATGCATATTACTAAACCACAGTCACCAGGCTGGTTGTCTTTCCTGTTAGGGTGACCAAATATCTGACCAAAAGCAGGCTAAAGAGAGTTTACCTTAGCTCACAGTTCAAGGGACGCAAGGCCACTATGCTAGGAAAAGCAAAGCAGCAGGAACTTGTGGTGTCTAGTCCCATCAAAAAGGAAGGAAGGTGAGGAAGAGGGAGAGAGGGAAGGAGGGAGGGAGGGAAGGAGGGAGGAAGGTTGTGGGGAAAGGGAGAGAGAAAGGCAAGGCAGAGACAGAGGAGGGAGAGGGAGGGAGAGATAGAGATAGATAGATAGATAGATAGATAGATAGATAGATAGATGGCAGATGACAGACAGACAGATGAGATTAAGACGTGCTGCAGGGACACATTTTCTGTGACATTTCCTCTCCTAAAGACTTACATCTTGGCGGGCGGTGTGGCGCATGCTTTAAATCTCAGCACTTGGGAGGCAGAGGCAGGCGGATCTCTGGGAGATCAAGGCCAGCCTGGTCTACAAGAGCTAGTTCCAGGACAGGCACCAAAAACTACAGAAAAACCCTGTCTCGAAAATCCAAGAAAAAAAAAAAGACTTACATCTTGAAGACCCCACAATCTTCTGATCCAAAACCATGACCCCACTGGCAATCACGTGTTCATACACATGACTCTGTTGGTGACATTTCATATTTAGATCACAGAAGTCAGTTTTGCCTAAATTTGACAAAATTCTCCTTGCCATATTTTCCCATGTGCTTATGGGATTCTGTGTTCTTGGCTTTTCTCCAGCCCCTCTTCCCTCCAGCTACACTGGGCCATCTTCACCGTTTATGCTCACTCCTCTGAGGAACTCTTTACAAAAATGGTTTTATGGCACATAAATGAGGGCAATTCAACGGTTGGTATTTCCAGCCAAGCCCTTCCACACTCCAGGTCCCTTTAGCAAAATACCGATTCAGTATCACCACGTGTGTTTAAATGATGGCTCAACCGGCTCAGCACTGAATTCCAAGTCTGTGCATAGTAACTGGACCTACACACAGAATCCTCCTGGCAAATGACAATGCCACTTATCTGCCACTGTCCTCAAGGCCAACATGTTTTCTAACTACTACTACTCTATTCTGTGTGTGTGTGTGTGTGTGTGTGTGTGTCTGTCTGTCTGTCTATCCAGATCTAGAGATATATATGGAATAGAATGAATCTCTTCACCTGGCTGTTATTTATTTATTTATTTATTTATTTATTTATTTATTTATATGCAGAGTCTCATTCTGTAGCCCAGGCTAGTGGCCTGAAATTCACTGTGTATACCAGGCTGTTCTTGAACTTGCAGCCATCCTCCTGACTCTGTTTACATGTTGTATTCCAGTCCATAAGCCAGGTCCTCTCACTCCTCTGTCTGATGTCATCAGTGAGGTGTCCTCTCATTCTTTTTTTTTTTGAACTTGTCTATAATTAAAACTTTATTGAAAAACTGACACCAAAATAGGAGATCACTATTGTGTACTTTATAAAATCAAACACAGTCACATTGTCTTGGTAGAGTCACTAAACTTGATAAGGCTTTCTGTGAAAAACGCAAACTCAGGAACTTGTATAGATGTTTAGTGTTGCTTTCTTCTAAATGAACAGCCTTCTGTGAGCCTGGCTTTTCCTCCTGTGGGCTGGCACAGCGCTGTTGAACAACCTACACAAAGAACCACTGTCTGATCATGGCTGAAAGCTGTAGTAATCTTGTAGCAGCCTGGACATTTCACATCCAGGAAGGAAGAATTTGGGCTCTGAACCAGCCGTTTCTTCTTATGTCTCTTCTTTTCGTCTTCCAAGGAAGGGTGTAAAAGGTCTCTAGCCAGAGGCATGGTGACGGCTCGGCCAGCACCGACGCTCCAGATCTCCGAGGTCTGTCCTCTCATTCTTTAACATCAACACAAGTCTTTATACGGCCCGTGTTCCAATTGTTCTGTAGTTAGCAGAGACCTCTGCTGTTTGCTGAGTTCATATGAGAAAAGCTTCCTGGACGCTCCAGTGCTTACTCCCAAAGCAGAGAAGCAGAGTCTCCTGAAGTAGTCAACTGCTGGAAATGCTTTCTTATCTACAGATGCTTTAAAGAACGATGGTTATTATGCTTTCTTAATATGGCTTCTGAATCTTATCTTTTTTCTTCTTGGTGTTTTCTCGCTATTACATATGATCTCTTGATTATATGTGATCAGTTTCGATGATATCTTCACGTATGACTTCCTATGTCAGGCATTCACAGAGATATGAGAGTAGCCAAGCCATGCTCTCTCAAAGAATTTGTATTCTATTGGTGGCAGGTGGACCTGCTGAGAATAAAAGTGACATAAGAACAAAGCAGGTGAGGAGGACAGTGGGGAAGTGCCAGACCGCCCAGTGTCACCTGCAGGGGCATACGTGGGGGCTTCAGAAGGACTGACAGACAGAGCTTATTCTGAGTCTGTAAACATCGCTGCTACTTTGTCTGGACTCAGTGTGGCGGTTTTTGTTTTATTCTATATTTTATTTTGTCATGTTTGGTTGTTTTCTATTAGAAGCTTGTTCTTTTCTAGTGAGAGACAGAAGGGACATGGATCCAGAAGGGAGGGGAGGAGAAGTGGTGGGGGGAGCTGGCAGGAGTAGAAGAGGGAGAATTACAACCAGGATACATTGTAGAGAAAAGAGTCTATTGTCAATAAAAAAAGAAAATGAGAACAACAGAAAGCAAAATGGTTGCATCTGGAACTGGTAACCCAGCCACATCCATCTCCCCCTTTCAGAACACACCCTATTTGTGACAACTGCAGTGACCTCTTCTTGCCAGGGCTGACAATTCGCTCATTCACCAAATTTAACTATGTAAAGAGAAGTCATGTTTTTCTTACTCGTTTCTATATTCAAGAGTTGAGCATAATGCTTGACCCAAGGAATGGGAAGGAAGATAAAAGGGAAGGCAGAGTAGGACCAAAACGGAGTGGGGAGTGTAGGAGAAGTGGGGGGGGGGCTGAGGGAGTGGGGAGTGTAGGAGAAGTGGGGGGGGGGGCTGAGGGAGTGAGGAGTGTAGAAGAAGTGGGGGGGGCTGAGGGAGTGGGGAGTGTAGGAGAAGTGGGGGGGCTGAGGGAGTGGGGAGTGTAGGAGAAGTGGGGGGGCTGAGGGAGTGGGGAGTGTAGGAGAAGTGGGGGGGACTGAGGGAGTGGGGAGTGTAGGAGAAGTGGGGGGGGGCTGAGGGAGTGAGGAGTGTAGAAGAAGTGGGGGGGTGGCTGAGGGAGTGGGGAGTGTAAGAGAAGTGGGGGGGGGCTGAGGGAGTGGGGAGTGTAGGAGAAGCAGGGAGAGAAATGGAAGGTCACATCCCGTGGAGGCAGTATGTCTTTACTTCTTACAGCTCTATGAGCTACAACAGGCTTCTGTGGTCTACTTTAATTCCTTTGTCTGTAAAGTGGGCATGATTACAGATGGGCTTTAGTGAGATAATCTTTGAAGAGGGCTCTTCACATTGCCTTCTGCCCAGTGTTTGGGTGCTAACCTTAATGGTCAAGGGTCTGGCCGTGTTGGGCTACATTGCAAAGATTCTTTTAGAACAAAAGGAGGTTTTAATAGGTTTCATGGCTTCTTTTTCTTCCTTTGGGAAGATCTCTGTCTCTGTGGCTGATCTGCCTTGCTGCTGTCACTGGGAACTTCCTATTTCCATCACTCATTCGAAGGCTCTTGTATTTCAGGCTTGTTCTTGGCTATCTTTCTGATCCAAGTGAGGACCTTCAGGATCCTGTAAGTGACAAATTCTTCAAGGAGATTTGGGTTTCGACAGCAGCTCGGAATGCTACCATTTATGACAAGGTGAGGTTTACTCCCCCCTCCGCCTTTTTTTATTCATTCTCATCACAATTTTACTGAGACAGATAGAATATTATTAGTATTAAATAATCAGTGTACCTCCATGTTGTAAAGCTATTTCTTTGTAGACACTGAAATACAACAATATTTATTTCTGTAACTTAGTGGTTGGGTCCTTGCCTAGCATGCCCAAGGCCCTGGGTTATCACTTAGAAGAGGCCTTAGTGACATCCTGTTCACCATAGGATGGACTCTCATCAACAGCATCATGAGTACATGACTAAGCAGCCTTTGAAGGTGTTTAGTGACAGAGAGAAGATAGGTTGATAGAATCCAAAGATGAGCACACAGGTACTCAACCCATCTCAGTTGGTTACCCATATGAACTGTGTGGTGGCTTGGTTCTCCCAAGCTTTCCATTCTTCCTTGCGGTTATTAAGGGGTTAAGTGTTGTTTGATGGTGGATAGGTTACCTCAGATTTGTTGACCATCTGTGTTAGAAGTTGGGTAAGAATATGTCCTCCTTCGGGTCTCCTAGAGCCCCTTTTGGACAGACATCTTCTTAGTGGGGCAGAATGTTGCAAACCCATCGTACTGCCTGTTCAGCCCCTGAAATTGGGGAGAAACAGAGAGAAAAGGCATTTTGGTCACAATGGGATAAACCTGCACATGACCCTGTGGAATTATGTCTCTTGGCTATGCAAATGATGCTGAGTCTGTGGATTCCTGTCCTCATTTTTACCCAATGCCTTCTGAAATATGCAGGGTAAACTGCTGTGGTGTCTGGACTGTATTTCAGTCAGCAAAGTGTTAGATGCTAACGACTGTTAACACTAATCAAACTTGCAATTTACCCGGCAGACAGGAATCTCCAGTGAAACTCAAGGATGGTCATTTTAGCATTTCCTCCCAGCATGCATTCCTCACTGCCAGCTTGTCTTTATTCTGTGGCTAATGAGCTCTATAGACGATAAAATGAGAATGTGGCTGTGGACTTTTGAAATGGAAAGAAGTCTCACAGTGTCTTTGTAGCATAAAAAAACAGCAACTATACTCAGGTGGTGGTGGTGCAGGCCTTTAATCCCAGTACTTGGGAGGCAGAGGCAGGTGGATTTCTTTGAGTTTGAGGCCAGCCTGGTCTACAGTGCTAGTTCCAGGGCATCTAGGGCTGTTACACAGAAAAACCCTGTCTCAAGGAAACCAAAGCAGAAACAAAAGCAGCAACTATGGTTGGTTGGTTTGGTTGGTTATTTGAAATCAGGACTTACTACATAGCCCAGCTGGTTTTAAACTTATGATTCTCCTGCCTCAGCTTCCATGTGCTGGAGATTACAGGCAGGCATGTGCCACTATGCCCAGATGTAAACAGTAACCCTTTGGCCTGTGCTTTGGCATAAAATTGTTTCATAAAGCAAAGCTTCCGCCTGTTGGAATGAATCTCTTCCATAAGGTCCGTGTGCTTGCTTTTAAATAAGTAACTCCGTTTCCAATTTGTCTTTTAACAGGTGTTCCGTTGCCTCCCAAATGATGAAGTGCACAACCTAATGCAGCTGAGAGACTTCATAAGCAAGCCCATATTGGCAAAAGATGACCCCATTCGTGCCGAGGAAGAACTGAGAAAGATCCGAGGCTTCTTGGTGCAGTTCCCATTTTATTTCTTATCTGAGGAAAACCTGCTGCCTTCTGTCGGAACCAAAGAAGCCATTGTGCCCATGGAGGTTTGGACTTAAAACAGACTTCTTTGCAACCCAAGGACTTCCAGTGTGGAGACTGCATTGCATATGGTGTCCTCCCAAGGGCCTACAGCCAAAGTCAGGCCTGATGCACTCCTGGGACCAACCCACTGGACTTTCTGGAGAGGCTGAGTGGGACAAGGATCACGTTGATGGAAGGACACTCGGCATAAGCAAGCCTTCATTATTCCTCCTGCCTGTCCTTGAGGAAAGTGGTTATGTTCTTGTTGGTAGTGTTGTTCAAACAATACCAAACACAGATATCAGAATCCATCTCCTTTGCTAATGAGAACCTGCCTGAAACTGGGATGCAAGTTGCCAAAAGTTACCTGATTCTCTTGTTCTCCTCTGATGCTCATCTATGTAGCTGGGGCCCACCAGACATGCCCCCAGCTTGTCCATACAGCCCTGTTTAAGAGATTGTTTATCAGGGAAAAGTGTGGAGAGTCACTTCAGAGTCCTCAAGGTTCTAGATGAGGCTGTATCCTTCTGGTTCTGATGTGAGGGTTTAACTAAGCCAAGAAGTTGCTTTTTGTTCCTTTTCAGTCACTGTTAAGACAAAACAGGTTTTGCCTAGGTACCAGCATTTTAGGCACTTCTGAGGAGAGCAACGGTGCATCTTGACAACAGGAAGGCATTAAATTCCAATGCTGAACAAGAGGTTTCCCTTGGTTTCCAAAGATACTGCCAAGTTGTATCCTTGTCGTTGAGCCCATCTGATAAAAACCTGTAAACACGTGCAGGGTATGCCAAAACATAGCAACCAGATAAACACAGAGAGAATCTCCAAGGCATCAGTGGGAATCCAGTTCAGATAAAGGACAAGCTTCTCCGTTTATAGAATCCCTGTTCTACTTAGCCACTGGATTGACCAAAAAGCTGGATTTCTCCATAACCAACCCAGTGGATGAAATTAGCCTTCCAGAAGAATCAGAGGCGTCATAATGCCTTCCAGCTAAGAAGCAGGAGGCTGCCCTTATTTACTCTTCTGTTCTCTCACCATGACTTCTTTAGGGGAAAAGTGCTAGGTTATAAAGATGAGTGACTTTGCTTACACTGAGAACTGATACAATAACATTCCAACACAACTTCCACAGAAGCTGCAGTAATGATTCACATTGTCCCCATGTGAAATCTGGATATCCACTTTCCCTTTCAGAGGGTATGGTGTCCTTTAGAGACCAAATTTTTGAGTTCCTTTCACATTCTAGGAGCATCTATGGAGTCCTGGAAGCCTAGGGTCCTTTGGCGGTCCTCTTCAAAGCAACTCCTGACCCATGTTTTGATGAACGAATATGCTGGCTTGAAAGATGACACAGGA